AATATAATAAACAAATCATATGACTCGACTGAGTCATATACATGAAACCCATGACCTGATAATGAGGTCATGTGCAAAACATAAATCATATACGCAAGGCATACCTGCAAGGCACACTCACAAGGCATACTTGTCAGGCACACATCCCATGACTCATATTTGAGCCATGTGCAAAATCATCACAAATCCTACACATAACAAATCATATAACTCGAATGAGTCATATGTGTGAAACAATAACATACCTGTGACTCATAACCATGCGTCACATGAAAACCTTTTCCTTGCCAAGTCACATTCGTGATATGTAGCTGGAAATGCTTCCTTTCTTCATTCGGACCTTATACATCATTAGATCTGTAGCTACGTCTGTGATTCTTTTGACATGTATTCTCTTGACTTGGTGGAGCTGGTTGAATTTGTTGTATAGGAGGTCATTTGTGATAGAGGATTGGAATTGGCCTTTCAGGTAATCGAGAACAGTGGATCCTCTTAATCTTACACTTCCACCATATTCCTGATAGCATTAGTGGTATGCGTCGGTTGCCTTTCCTTCGCAGAATGATTCCATGTCTAGTTCAGTTGTAGGGTCTTCCGCATATTTTCCTTGCAGGAGAAGGTAGTGTGTGAGTTCAGTTGCCCATTGATCAAAAGCTTTGGGTTTGAGGTCTTTTCCTTCTCCTGTAAACTTCGCTGGGAGGTGGAGTTTGAACTTAGGAGGTTCAAATGCTCAGAGTACTTCCTCTTCCTCAAGCCAAGCCCAAGATTTTCCTCCTCCTGAAGGTCCTCCTCCTGTACTAGCCATATCTGATTTGCTACTGGATTCGGGGTCAATTGGAGGTTCAAAGAAAGGCTTCTTTGCTGGAGTAGAAGGGAATTGACCTAGAGGTTGTGTATCTTCCGTGTTTGCGGGTTCTCCCAACTTCTTAGCAGAGCGCCGCAGTTGTTTCTTTCTTATAAGGTCTTGCTGTAGGATTTACTTCTCACTCCTAGTCATCAATGACTCTATGTTGGTTTTGAGACGAAGCCGAATGTACCGTGATTCTGCCACTTCTCTCAGCTAGCATTTTGAGATGGATATCGATAGGTTGATCAGGCCTAAATCCAGAGACAGGTTCTTAACCACTTACTGAGGTTAAAAAAATGTGATGTGTTTGCAAGGTGCTAGTCACGTTATCAGTAAAGATATGATAGTTGGCAGGTAGCTTGCTCTACCAGAGAAGAGGCGAGAGCTGAGAACTAAAGGAGATTTTGAAAATGTACTGAGGAACAAAGAAGTAACTGTTCAACCAAGTATATTGAAATACTGTCTGTCGAAGTCTGCTTTTTCCATCATGGAATCAGGCAGTCTTTAAATACACAAATTTGTTCATGTCTAGCATGAACGAAACTAATCAAAGGTATCAATCGATACACTTTGGTAAAACTAATTTAAGTATCAAAACAATACTTAAAACAAAACATAAAACAAAACCAAGTATCAAAGCAATACTTAAAACAAAACATAAAACAAAACCAAGTATCAAACGATACTTAAAACAAAACATAAAACAAAACCAATAACCGAGTACCCGTACCAGTTACAATTTAGATTGGAGGAGGCAGGGGGCCAAACAAATTTAGAAATGCCGAACTGCTCTTGAATCTGCCAAGTATAATATGCTTAATGAGTAGAAGTACCATTCTCCATTAACCAGAGAGAATACCTTGCTGCCTCACTCTCCCTCTCCCAAAATGCTTGAGCACTGAGATAAGGACATTATTGGAGTAACTTTTAGCCTTGGCAGTACCCCAATTGTCCCTATCCCAGAGTACCAAGTCACACTTCCTCCCCCCCAAGAATCCCCCTCTCAGACCATAATAGAGTCCTTCTTAGCAAACTTGGGGATGAGGCAATTATCCTCAAACTCTTCTCCAGGGCGTCAGATCACCCAGATATGATTGATATGTCCAGAGAGCCAGACATAACATTTGTCGGTCCAGATGATCACCTGATGCCAATCCTCTCTGGTCTACCCCTGATAGGCCATCGCGAAAGTGAGACAAAGTTTTTTCTTCTGCTCGTCAAGAAATAGCTTCTTGCAAGCAACTCTTCCAGAGTAGTCTTCCAAAAGAAAGGCTTTCTGGAGGGTTCTCAGACATGCTTGCACACCGCAGGCTGCTGCCACCTCGGAGAGTGGCATTTGTCTATGAGCAGTACTCATTGTTGCAGTAGCAACAAGACAACACCAAGTCAGCATGTTGATGGAAAAGGGTCGTCCCTTGGGTTTTTTCGGGGTGGAGGGCACTTGACAAATGTCAAAGACTGTGCTAATACTTAGTCCTTGATTGTCAGCAATTTGTCTATTTATCCAGCCTGCAGAAGATCGCAAGGTCTGGACTGCACATCTTTGTTTATCGGATACCCATTCACTCCTTGAGGCTTCCATCATTTTCTATTTCTAGGTAAGTGACTTCTCATAATTCTACGATATGGATATAATGTTTACTTACAGGAAATGTAGGTCTTTTTTCTCTATTTTTTTTTTTTTTTTTTTTTGTTTGTGGTGCTTTACAATATTGGTGATTGCTAATACTTTTTGAGAGTATGCAGTTACCTAGAAAAACATCCACCTTTTGATTAATCCCCCACCCTTTTTCTTTATTTTGATGCTAACTACTTTGGCAATTTACAGGGATAATCTAATGTCTCAGATAATGGCCTTTCAGCCCCCAGCACCGCCACTATGTTCGGTCCATTCATGCCAGGGACCTGCACGATACCGGTACGCGGGCTACCACCCAGAGATAATCAAACCACGGCAAATTGAATACCGGTAGAGCAAGTCAAGGAAAACAGTGATCGCCTAAACTTTACCGGGCAACGGGATACCATTTAAATACTCGTAGCACTGTACCTCTACTCGTAGAACACTACCGGTACGATATGAAGTAGACTAACCTTGGATACTGTCATCACAGTATTCGCCGAGACGAATAGAGGGAAACTCAAGCTGCTTTTTTTTTTTGCCCATAGCTGCAGCGTGTGATGGGGGCGCTACTTAGGTATACTCGAGTAGCGACCAGGACGTATATGGGTAGAAGTGGAGCAAACCTGTCGTCAAAACCTACGCCATCTCCTCAATTCCCATTGCCACAGCCACAGTAAGCGTTGCCAATAGTTGCTGAGCCAAGCGGAGGTCCAGTCGAAAGAGGTAGTGGAGTTCTTCAACAAGATATCATACTACCGGTGGACTATCGTGGGCAATATCTTTCCTCAACCACCAGTAAGGTGGTGGTATTATATCCCAGCCAACAGCACTACTGTTGCTAAGAATTTCAACATCGTGCGATGCTCCTTTCCACTAGAAATGCCGTCTTGTGGCAGTACAGCAGGGTCAAGACCAACATGAAAGTCTCCAAACCAGCCAAATATTCCCAAGCTCACTCCTAGACTCGATGATTATTTCACATGATACCATCTAGCTAGACCCATCCATGGCCGCTCTTCCATGGCTCCCGCAGACAGACCAGCTCCCCATTGCTTATGAAACCAGACCACCCACACTATAGCAAAAGTCCGGCCATCCCACCCCCAAAGCATCCTCACTACCGGCACCGGCGCATGAAAGAACCAGCAGCTTGTGGCATCCCCAGTAGCAGGTCCACCGCAAGCTGCTATATCTACCGCAATCGTTTAACACGCTTCGTAAATCCTTCCCAGGTGCCCGTAGACACCAGCAAAATTATACAACCGGAGAAGAGAGATATATATTGTTCGAACCCTACTTTTCACCCATTTTAGCCCACCACCGAGCCAAGCACCAAAACGCCTGTTCCTTGCCCTCAGAAAAAAGTTATTTGCATTTTATGCGGCACAAATCTGGGACTCGACAGGGTTTGACCGAAGTGCGGGGAGGCTAAGGTTTGCACCTCCGTAACGGTATCATAGTACCGGAAGCGCTACCTATGATATAATATCACAGGTACCGAGTAACTTACCGTAGTCTATTGCCTTACAATGCATGCCTGACCCAATAGTGAACCTAAGGCTGGTATTTGCCGTTGTGGGTTCGTCCAACTATCATACTTTGCTTACATCCTTTTTTTTTTTCACTTCTGCCCAGCATCACCAAGACGTCTTCGAGAAGTCTCCGAAAATCGGCTCAGAAGATACAGCACAGCAGCGAACCCATCATAACCCGTCATTCGTATTTCACCTGCTTTTTTACTCATTAAGCAACCGTAACTTGACTATCATGGCTCCAAGTTAACCTCGGCACCCATGTGGGAATCTGAGAAACCGCCGACCTTCCCCCGCTCTTGATAAACATTTCTGGGACCCCGAGCCTCATTCAGCACGTTGCGTCTACCGGCGGGCACACCGTAGAAGAAATATTGCTGGAGTAGCAACACCGCAGCAGGGCATCAATCGCTATATGATGAGCCGGTTGGACTCGAATACCATACGGTGACATAAAGTAAGTGTAATTGTTGGCGTCCCATACTCGAGTAAGTCTTCTGGCTGGTCCGCCCAGCAGCGCAAATAGAGACATCACCGATACTTACACAATCAAGCCGTGGATTCTGGGATACCCAGAAAATCTCAAATTATTGAACCCATGTCGCCGGAGCTGCCTCTCCCGGCAATGTCCAGTGTTTCCCCAGTTTTTTTGCCTCCCAGAGCGGTTGTGCAGCTCTCCTCTTTTGCTATGTTTTTCGCCCCGCCCCCAGTGTAGCGAGCGGGTTCCTGACTAAGCTACATACTACCTGCTTCAATTATTTGAGAGTGCTCGGACAGTCCCATTAGCCTACCGCACCGCCCTTCTTCACCTACAGTAGTTCTAGCGCCGTAAGCGCATATATAACACGCACTCGGTCACTTCTTCCATCTCGTGCCCTCCCCCTAATTCTTTATTATTTCCCCCTTGATCGATTAATCGAACCCCAGAGTTTTCATACTTGTTGCTCATCCCACGCTCTAACTCGCTCGCTACAGCCCGCCTTCCCAGAAAGTGGGAATGTCACACTTTCACATTTCTACCCATGTACTCTCCGCATCTCACCTGCGAGAGTTTCCCCGGGGCACCGTTTCTGCTATTAACCCCCCGCAACTGAAGCTCGTTGTGAACCAGTATACTCCAAGATCGAGTGCTGGAACACCAGCACAGTCTGGGAATGTTACCATTATATTTTGCCATGCTAATGGAGTTCACAAGGTACTTTAACCTTGTTTCCGGGCCAGTAGATCAGGCTATTATTGGGTGTTAACAGGCACTAGGAGCTTTATGAGCCATTCTTCGATCATCTGCTAGTAGAGTATGAAAAGTCCGGATTGAGGATAGCTTCGATTTGGGCCCCTGATGCTGCTCACCAGGGCGCTTCGGGAGTTCTTAACGAGGAGGTGCTTGGAGATGACCGTGGGCTTTCCTCCACCGCTCGATTGGCCACTAGAGCGTAGAAAGCTAATACTCTGCAGCTTGCTGGAACGACGTCTGCAGAGATGTACTGCATATGGTCAACCAACGACCTCGGGATTTCCCTCCCCCGATAATCGGAATAGGGCACAGCTTTGGCGGTCAGGCTATGTGAGAATTTCCATATTCAATTAAATACCCTTTGAGATCCTCAAAATCTAGATAGTAAATCCCCAGCGCATGAACTAACGACAATTCCAGCGCTCGTATCTCCTTCATCCATCCCTCCCTTTTCACTTCAATCCTCCTCCTAGACCCAATCATAGAAGAGAACGCCAAACCCCCAAACCCACATCCCTCCGTCCTGTCCGCAAAACGGCAAGATGTCTGGCCATCCATGGCCGAAGCAGAGAAATACGTCCGTTCCCGAACATTCTACAAAACCTGGGACCCCCGAGTGTTAGAAATCTACCTCGCAAGTCTTCCCCTCCTCCCATTCTCCCCCCCAAAAAAACTTCTCTTAACGACCAACAATATATAGAAAGTCGGCTTCCGCCCCCTCCCCACACCAATATACCCCGATAAAGCCGGGGTAACGCTCACCACAACAAAGCACCAAGAAGTCTACACCTTTATCCGCCACGACAAGTCTTTCCAAAATAGCGCCCAGCTAGGAAGAGAGGAGCCCGATGCAACATCACGATTAATGTCGCTCGTGACGCCACCACTAATGTACCTTGTTGGGGAAAATTCGCCCACCTGGACACCGGACCGGGTGAAGCGCATGCAATTGGCGCCTGGGGCGACACTAGAGATTGTAGAGAAGGGGTATCACTTGTTTCCGCTGGAGCTACCGGCTAAGTCAGGTGAGTTTTTGTTCACTCGCCGTGGGGTTACCGGGAGTTGGAGAAGAGAAGAGAGTGGGAGTTAATGATCTGGATAGCTGAATCGGCAGCACCGTTTTTGATAAAGAGTATCAAGCGATGGGGGAAGGAGGCTGAAAAAGATCTCTCGACGCCAAGGCATAAAACCCTGACGGCGGGTTTTCATGAGAGGTTGTCCAAGTTGTAGATTTGCTAGAGTATTTGCGGCTGCGCTGGCGGGCCGGAGGTTTTGTATACACACAAGCTACGGTAGGAGGATAGGTATCATACGGGATGCTGTGCTTCCAAATAGATCTCGTCTCGGACCCAAGGCCGTCCGTCTACAATCCTTCCTTTTGCTTCTGGGATTTTACTGGATCACGAACAGGAAACGCGCGTTTCTACAAGTATATAAAATAATTGTAGACTGAACCTTTTTTTTTTTTGTTTTTACATCGTTCCTCATTGCGGCCGTTTAATTGTGTTATCGTGTCTCCACTCGTGCAGCCAAGTCGGTCAAATACCGGTACCCTTTTATGTCGGAGACGGAGAACCAAGCTAGGAATTTCCCACCCAGAGAGTCTACCGGTACTCGTAGCTTGACCCCGGTCGCCAGGGTACTTGTGTAGATGCGCAGTTACGGTTTCTCACCATTACTTGTTCCATACTAGTGTGTGGACCCCCTGGCACCTCGACCAATCCGAGTTTACAGCCTACTACTACTCTACCGTTCACCCCATTCCCGGAAGCCCGAACAACCACGAACACTTACTATGATAAGTATAGTATGGCATAGCAGCATAAACATCAATCTCTACATCACCATATCTTACGAAATTTACCTACCGTAGCAGTCCCAAAAACGTACAAGAAAACATACTTTCAGAAAACTCGATCTTCTTGAACTATAAGTTAGTTTGTTTGATTTTTTTTCTGAATACTTATATGTTCTTAGTACAGTACTTACTCTTTTCTACCCCCTTTCACCCCTTGATTTTTTTATTCACTTACCTCAAAATACAATAGCCTTTTCCACCCCATTAACTATCATACTCGAAAACAATATGATACTTTGCTAGACATCTCTGGACCCTCAACACACCTTCCTACTACTGTCGGTACAGTACTAGGATTCCATCTCAGCAATATTCATGCTAACGCTATACCCAATTGAATGCGAAAGTGTGACGCACGGGTAATCACTCACAGGTACTGTACCGGTATGATATGATGACTAAAAATGTGAACGAACACTGCAAAATACATACACATACTCGCGCCGCCGAGTTGCTATCGGACACCTATATGGGGTAGTGATCGGCGAACCAATAAACAGGCCTTTTGATAGTGCCAAGCTGGGTGGCGCAATTTGATATACTGGAGAAAACAAGTGATCTCATAGAGGTTTTCACAACCTCCTGATTTGCCCCTCTGTACCCAATATCAATCAACTCCCCATACTATTGCTATACCTTTCAAAATTCTAAACAAATGTCCGCCCCGCTGAGTGAAAAAGTGTCAACTCCCCGAGTTCCTTTGCTTCAGAGAGCAGCGATTTTGACTCTAAAGTGGCACACGGACATGTCATATTGAACGATAGCGGAAAAGCTGAAACAGAAAAAGTCCACTGTTGAGGGTATCGTCAAATGGGCAAAGGCAAGAGCACCTAGTACAAGTTCAATATCCTCAAGTCATCAGATTGATGATGTGTTTTGCTTGACGGTAAGGAAAGCATATCATTAATCTGATGACTTACTCAAGTGGCCGAATTGAAATCAGAAGGTGGCTAAGCAAACTTTGCGGTAATGCTTTCTGACTTCAATTTGGCTACTTGAGTATGTATATTGAAAAACTTATATCTTGGGGTGCCTGTTCTAAAATATTCAATGTTAGACTCACGCAGCAGATTCAAAGGACTTTGAAGATGTTCTTGCCTGTTTAGATGATGATCAGAAAGGTGGCAATCCTGAGCGATTTCCTATGGACTGTGAGGAGTCAATTGCTCTCCGTGACCTTAGTCAAAAAGATGAGGAGCACTGGCAAAAGACATTTCCTGAGATTGCACAAGAGTTAGATATCAAAGCAGCACATTCAACTCTTGAGCAAGTTTTTCATAGTCAACACGATATTTTCTAATGAAAGCCAGCGCACAAGCCGAGCCTATCAGTTGCCCACATAGAAGCATGCCTCGCCTTTGCACATATGGCACTACAAATTGCTATTAATATTATCGTTTTTACGGATAAGATGTGGGTTGAGTTTGGAAAACCCCGTCGCCAATATAATGTATCACGATATTGGGGTATTGATAGTAATGAATACGCAATTCATGATAGGGATGGGGAAAAACAACCTATTCGGATCATGTTTTGGGGTGCGATCATTCAAGGGGCTAAAGGCCCATATCATATTTGGGAACAGGATACAGTTGAGGAGAAGGCTGTGTTTCAAGAAGTTGTTAATGAGGAAAACCAAATACGGCAGGAGAGACAGCAGTTTAACCAACAGCAGGCCCAAGTTTCCAGGACCTGGCAGCACTGGATACTTTCCGAATTCAACAACAACATCGAGGTCTAGAACCAAGAGGAGAGGTGTACTGGGAGGAATAAAAGGAAGAAAAGAAAGGCAGAGCAGGTGTTTAAAGAGGCGGAGCTAGGATTTACAAGTAAGGGGGGAATTAATTGGGTATCATATCGGGAATGAGTTCTACGACCGAAGCTTTATCCCTGGATGAAGTCCATCAGAGAAATACGTGGAGTGCCATAACTATACTTAGTTGAGGACAATGCACCTAGTCACCAAACAGCATGGCAAATTGATTATGATGAACATCAGTTATCAGGTATTTTTACATTAGATTGGCCCTCCAAGTCACCGGATTTGAATCAAATTGAACCCATTTGGGACTACCAAAAGGATGAAGTTTCTACATGGCAGCTTGTCGGAGCTAGTAGGATGGCTGTTGAGCAAGCGAAGGAGGCACTTGCAAGGACTTGGGAAGTACTTCCTCAGGCTGTGATTGACCAAAAGTGTCAATCATTTCATGAGAAGCTTCAAAGGGTGATACTTCACGATGGGAATAACAATTTCAATGGTTGAATTATCTGGTTTTCTTGTACCGTATATGATTAATAAGTATGTTGCCTGGCATATGGTTGTTATTGGTCCGCCGATCACTACTCCATATAGGTGTCCGATAGCAACTCGGCCGCGCGAGTACAAAAAAAAAATATAAAAATATAAAAAAAAGAGGTCAAGAGAAAGAAGAGCGAGCAAGAAGCAGCTCTCCATTGTATTGTATTGTATTATCTCGGTTCACAGAATTTCTTCGTTGAGTGATATAGATCACCCATTCAAACACCACTCACGACCGGTCACTCGCGCCAATGGCCTGGGCGCACGCTATGGTAATGCCGGTAGCGGTTATGGACCCCTAAAGGTTAATCTAGCTGTGGGTGACTCCTAGAAATTCGGGGATTTAGTTCACGTCTTTTTTTATTTTTTTTTATTGGCCCTTCCACAGGAGCGAGAGAGCCTAAAGGTGTCCAAACATCTGTGCCGAGAACTCAGAATTTAATGGGCAAGTGACTATCACCTTTGTCAGGGTATATCATACTCATATTTTATAAGTGATACATCCGATGAAAACTATATAAAAAGGAGTAAAATACAAAAGAAACCCCCCCCCCCACAAAAAAAGACTCGAATCTCCCGCAACAAGCACAGCTCAAGCCGAAAACAGGATAAAAGAGATCAAAAGGTAATAAAAAAACAAGTATAATACAATATACACATTATAGAATGAACAAATAGGCCAGCCCACCGGTGCTCAAGTATCGAAGGGTACGTTTTACATACACAAGTATTGTCAAGACACCCCGTGTGATAGAAATTAACAAGATAATATTAAAGAGAGCACTACGCATGCGCGTATGGTATGGCAACAAACTTTGCCAGGTACTTTGGTGAGGGAGTGACTGTAAACGAAATCAAAAGGAAGAAAAAAGAAAAAAAATATAGAGAACCAATAACCCAAACGCACTTCTCTATGGTTTGAGAGAATGAATGAAAGACCTGAACCGCGCTATGCTGTGCCTGCTAATACGAGCGAATATCAAACCCCCCAAGAACGAAAAGGCAGAAAAGAGGAAAAGATGAAAGAAGAAAAAGGGAATCGAACAAGGCGGAGGGGGAATATATGGAATGGTGGATACTCAGAATTGAAATCAAAATTGAAAATTGCGCCTTTTGAAATCAAAGAAAAAAAAGTCTATGATAAAGCCCCATAAACCTGATGAACATAGCGTGCGTTAACTTTGGGGGAAGGCAGGAATGTACTGAAATCATTGCATTGATTCAAGGTATTTCACTCTTTCAGCGGCAATGTCGGCTTGTAGTCGTCTTGTTTGGCGCATGGCATCGTCTCTGTTGTTATCACTATCAGCTCTTCATTCCTATATTATTAGCCCAAGATATCGCGAGGTTACCTCTCGCACTGAAGCTCCAAGACTTCAATCTGCGCCATGTTCATCTTGCTGACAACTTCGGCCATTTCATTGTCTGCCTGTACTAGAGCCTCCTCGAGCTCCTGAACACGCTTCTCCAAGAATTCGACCTTCGCCTCGTCAGGAATCGAGCTAACAGACTTTCGGCTCCCTGTCCACTCTAGTTTAGGCGACTTGAGGTGAGGAGATAGCAATGGGGATCTGGGCCCGAACTGGGACGGCGATCGCAGAGCTGACGATTTCAATCTTCGCAGTTGCGAAGTATGTGTCTCCTTCAGCTGGTTGATCTCCTGCTCATGTTTAGCGACAGCATCTTCTGTCTCTTGCTGTGCTTCCAGAACCCTATCCTCCAACTCCTTCAGCCTTCCTTGGAGCTCGTTTATTCTCTTCGCCGACATCTTTTGCTCCTCCTCCCCGCGGCCAATGGCATCCGCCAAACGATCTCTCAGGGCATTGTTCGACTCAAGCTGAGCGTGCACTTGCACAACCAATTCTGCGATGCGCTCTGTGGAGAGCCTCAGTTGCATGCTAAGGTTTCTCTCCTCTGCCATGTGTTTCTTCTCTGACCCCGCAAGGGACTCCGACCGCTTACGATAGGCCTCAGCTTCTACCTGTGCGGTATCTCTCTCCGCTTCCGCCTGCGCAACGCTCTGCCGCAACCTCTCGATAGCGCGTTGCGATTCCTCGTGAGCCTGCGAAAATCTCTGTTCGCGGTCGGATAGATCGGAGGAAAGGTCGGTTCCATCAGCTTCGACTTCACCCAATCTTGCCAAAGTCCTTGCATGGATATCCTGAAGGTCACGGTAGGCCTGTTGCAGAGACAGTGATACGACACCCTCCCCACTAATCTCTTGCTTCAACTGCGAGACTTGTTTGGAAAGACGTGTATGGGAATCCTGAAGCTCGGTATGCTTGCTAACTAGCACATCATGTTCCTGGAGAAGAGCCCGTAACGAACTTGTCTCCTGTTCGGCCTTTTCCAAGTCCATTTTTAACGTCCCAAGACCCCGTTCACACGTAAACTTTTGCTCCAATGCGTCGTCAGCTCGTTGGCGCAATCGCTCCATTTCCCTCCAAAGAGACCTCATTTCCCGGTCCTTTCCATATCGCCTATTTGTCTGCTGGAGCGCCTTGTCACGTTCCGCTTCCAACACTCTGATCCTCTCCTTAGCCATCCGGCTCTCATACTTTTGTCTCTCGCGTAAGCTCTTCAAAGCCGCGTGCAGAGCATCCCGCTGTTCCTCAATATCTTTTACCTTTTCCACCAGTGTCTCTTTATCTCTCATATTTAATATCATGGGGAGACCTGGACCAGCTGAGGTGGGTGTTGCAAATCCTGACGCAGGAACAGAAAATCGGTGGGATTGTCGAGTTTGATTGCGGACAGTCGAAGCTAATGATGCATTCTCATTTTTGAGATTGAGCAACTCCTGCTGCATCCGAGAATGTTCATACATGAGCTTTTGCAATTCCGACGCCTCCGACTCTAATCCCTCCATTCGGGCCCGGAGCTGAGGCACAATTTCATCCCTGAGATTATCACGTTCATTCCGATGTTCCTCCAATTCCCCCCTCAAGGCCGTTAAAAGGTCTTCATAGTTTTCTTTCATTTGCCGCTCGTCTGCAAGCCGACGCTTCGCTTCGTCCAGAGTAACCTCCAACTCCTTTATCCGTCCTGAAGTATCTGTAGCTAGAAACTGTGCACTCTGACGCTAAACTACTAGTTAGAGCTCTATATTTTTTTACATCTAATGGAACATAACACATTCTTACCCTAGCAACTTGTTCCTCGAGATCTCTAACACGTGATTCCATGGCTTTTCGCCGTTGTCTCTCTTCTTGTATTTTCCCCAGAAGCTCTACCTGGACTTGAGATTTCTCTTGTTCCGCCTTTCTTGTCAACTTCTCAACATCTACCTCAACCTTTGTCTCTATGTCCAGGTATCTTGTCGAACTTCCGGCATCAGAGAAATAATCGCTTGTCCGTTTCCCCTCTCCATTCCTTTCCGCGGCCTCCGCCTGCAATCTCTCGACAAGATCCTCCAAGTCCATCTCCCTACGGATTGACGCCGCCAGATCCGCAGAAACCAAACGAACCTCCTCCTCAATAGCCTCGTAGGATGAGGGAGTTGGAGGCGCCAGGGAGACCCCCGAATCTGAGTGTAAGCCGGTAGGTAACCTGGCATTTGCAAGTGGTATATCAATTGCAGGTGGTATCGACCGGCTCGATGGTGATGTAGAAGGTGCAACGACCGTCTTCGGAGAAGGTACCGGAGAGGGCCCTCGATCAGAAACTGAGGTGGAAGATGACCCTCCTTGTTCCGAAGTACTCCCCCATCGGAAAAAGGAGGTGAATCTGCCATTCGGTGACCTTGGCTTACTCATCTCGTCCGTCACGTCTGAAGTTGAAGGGGAGTGTGTGCGATATGAACCCTCTGGGAGGCCCAAGTTCGGTGCTGCATGGGGCAAGCTCGCCATTATGGAGCTGGCTCGCCGGTTCGGCTCAAATGCTTGCTCTGGAGTATTCGATCTGCTCAGTGAAGAGTCGCTCCGGACTCTCGCATGGCTAGAATTGGGCACTAGAGGAGATGGAAGATAGGGGCGAGGTGAGGGCTGCTGTATCCGGATATCAACTTCACCACTGGGAGAAAGAACCCACGAGCGCTGTGCAAGACTAGGAGAGTCCCCGTGTGGGTATCTGGAAAGGAAGACGTATGTCAGAGGAAGTGGTCTCCGGAACATGCCATAGAAAGTAGTTTTGTCCCGTACCTGTCTAAATCTCGAACAACAAATTCTCCTGAGTCTGAGATGGGAAGATCGAAGGGGGCAGGAGAGGTTATGCCAAGCTTTATTGAGCGATCTGTGTCCGGCGGTAGAGAGTACTCGCTGTCAGAGTATAGTTGCCTCGGTGACTGATCCGGAGTTTGTGTGCCGACGGGAGAAACGACAGAGGAGGGGCCGCGAGGCACCGGTTTTCGGCGAACTGGTGACTGAGGTGAGTATGGTGGAGAAGCCAAACGACTATGAAGTCGCAGAGATGGAGGAGAGTGTGCGTAGGATGGAAGCTGGTGAGCCCGCTCCGAGGGTAGAGCGCAGGAATTCATTCTACAACTGTAAGTTGTCTCAATCAATTGGAAGGCCCTTCTTCCTTCCTTTTTTTTCTTTTCTTCTTTTCAACCTTTCTCTCTCGGGTCGTGTCTCCTTCAGGCGGAATTTCAGCTAGGAAGCATCCACCGGGGGGGGGGCAAAGGACAAGGGAAAGGGGGGTCTATGCCCGCAAAGACAGGTGCTGGATGTGATGCAGAAATTGTTGGGCTAGTCTTTGTTCGGAGCAAGACGAGGCCTATCAACGCTGATCGATCGATCAAATCAAACGGGAGTCTGACCAGCAGAGGGTCCGAGGCGATTAGGAGGGGGGTTGAGAAGTTGGAGGAAGCCGAATGTTGAAGGTGTGGGTGGATGCTAAGACTTGACGGGGGAAGGCGTACAGTACAGGGGGGGGGGTATATTTTATGGCCCCTCTTAGCCCTAATTTTCTCCTCCTGATTCTGCAACACTGCAATCCGAGTCCCGCTTCCGCGAGTGATAACTTGGATAGCTTCCTCCTGTACGAGTACGGTACGGCAATCTCTTATCTCCTCTTCAATGACGGCTAGTAGCACGAGTGAGTGCACCCGTAACCCCGTAGAGTTTGTGAAAGTAAGTGGGTCTAAGAAGGGTACCCGTATGTTTGAGGCGAGATGCTCGAGAAATATGATATCTGAAGGACCAAGGGCTCCCAGAGACAGTTTTCCAGTACCGCTAACAACTGAACTACGAGCGAAAGAGAGTGAGATTGCGGAGTCAAAAGAAGTAAAGTTCCACCAACCAACATGCAAAGTGACCAGCAGCAGGATCCAAGCACGAGCACAAGCAGCTGTATAGTACTAGTACACGTACAGTATGATAGCTCGAGTAGGGAAATTTCCAAGCGAATCCAGGACCCGCGGGAAAGTTACAAGTATTATGAAAGCGATCCAGGTTCCTGACAAGGGGAGGAAGAGAGCAGAAGAGGGGGATGAGAGAATACTCGAGTACTCGTATGGAGGTGAAGACTCACAGCAGGATAAAGTGATGTTGTAGTAAGCCGGGGACGAGGTGCACCAGGATATTTTGTGGGGATCGCACAAGTGCAGCACGAGCTGCTGATGCAGAGAAACGACGGGCAAACAAATTTCGCCCATGCTCGTAGTACAAGTACTGGTATACAGTATGATGATAGAGAGAAGGAAAAAGTGGGCAACCAACAACCGCCTGGTTTCACCGACTGGCCCCTCACCGGGGCCCCTGCCAGCCAGCAAGTCAAGGGGATAAAGGTGTAAGCCTCCCCCCAAGCGCTAACTTGGGAAAGGTTCAACGCGTTCCCCCAAAACCAGAGAAAGGGATAAATTTATCGAGTGACCTTTGAAGGTGGCTGGCTGGTGTGCAGAAGGGTACTTGATTATGATACAGTACCTTTACTGGCGCTAATTATTACTCGCCGGTGGTGACAAATTGCGGGCAACCTCCAAGGTAGCCGAGCCCAGGTTCTGCAAAGCGCTGCAAGGGGATTGATTCCCCGAGTCTGACTCTTGGCTCGCCCTCTCAATCGTCTCGCACTCGAGTACCGGTGTATCAGCTGCCCCAGCGAACTATGGCACCGGTACGGTAGTCATGATACCGGTATTCTGATCCTATGATCTCCTCCCGTACTGAGTGCAGTTTCCTTTCCGCGTTGGCGAATAATTGAACCCTTTTCCCAGTGCTATTTCCCACCCCAGATATGATAGGCTCTCCATACCGGTGCATCACATCCGCCATGTCCGAGAGCAAGTGAGAGGAACGAAATTCCATCCCTTTCCACATCAAAAGTCAAGGGTTCGAAATCATTTTGAGCGGTGCGGCAACCCTTTTACCCCTGGACCTAGCCATTTAAGGTCATGTGGATCCCTGTGATCCGCTTCTTTCGTCAAGTGAAGACCTTGGCAAATTACGCCGCAAAACTTTGCAACCGCCCAACGAACATCTCAGCCTATCAGGGACCCTGACCTGGAGTCAAATCCTAGCCATATGATTGGCCCAGAATTGCACCTGCCCCACATCCAGAGTCTTGGCTTAAGGTCTCTCTCTCTTCTTCCCTTCCCCTGATTGCCGCGAGTACAGTACCCTACCCGTACAGTGCCCGTTCTACCCGTACCATCGTGCCCTAACAAATCTGTACAAGTACTCGTAGTGACAGCTTGTTCTCAGCTTCTTTAGAAGCTCCCCCCATCACCAATCGTGTTTTTGAAGTGCTAGCACTTATTTCCCATGGGCACACACTCCTTTCCTTACAGCTGCAGTATCAATGCTACCCCATCCAGAGTCGAGCTTTACTCGTACTAGTACAATGTGATGATGCTATTGCAAGGTTTCAATACAGTATTGGGCATCCTGCAACTTGCAGCCACGGCAGCAGGGTTGAAGTTAACCAACACCGTGACAGTACCGGTACGAGTACGGCACGCGCGAATCTGATGAGTAAATTACTTGTATCCTGAGCACCTACGAGTATATCAAGTACCAGTAAAGCACAGACCCTTGGCGCCAAGGTGTTTAGATACTCGTATCTTTAAAATTGGCGAGCACGATCACTTACCGTATTGGACCGGGAAGTGGTTCAGACGCATACCGTACCGTAGGTGAACAGCTTCGTACTCGGGGTGGGAGTGAAGTACCGGTATTGGGACAAGCAGCGAGCTTGATGTCTGTGTGAATTACTTGAAGTGGGATTGAAGATACCAATTTGAGTAATTTGCACAGACATCGAACCCCCTGCTCTTCCCAATACTTTCCCTCTACCCCTAGTATATGAATTCTACTCAAATCCTCACTACGGAAATTTGGTGACAAAACCAAACCTCTGAATTCAGCTCGAGAAAGGGCATATACAACATACCGGTAATGTGGCTATCATGCCAGGAATATCATACCTCCTACGGTACTAGTACACCCCCTTCTCGGTGTTGGGCCTCAATTGACATTTTCATATTTCCACTTTTTTTGGAGCATTTTAACCGATTCACCTTCCCCTTGCGATCAGCTTCCCGATATGCTACCGTATGCCTCTGGATGCGATAAACCAGCCCTCGAGCACAGGACCATTTATAAAGTATTCGGACACTTGGCGCCAATACAGGCTCTAATAATTCAAGCTGTCCGAATACTTTATGGACGGCAAAGTACATGTGCAATTGTTTGTTGTGATTACTAGGCATATTCTTGGCATTTTTTGCCTGCAACCTTGCGGGTAATTCTGGGCTTCTTGGGCACCTCTCATCGCCGCACGCGCCCGGAAACCCACGAGACTCGTCTGCCGGTACGCCGTGATTACGAAAATACATGAACCATTCCTAAAAATAAAATAAAATAAAAACATAAATTTAGCCAAACCGAGACCAGCGCCTCGCCTGGCCCCGGGAGCGGGCGAGTAAACCTTTTCAATAACATGCTCCTGGAGAAAGGACCTTCCGGATATCATACTGGTAACTTACCGGTATCTATTGACCAAGAAACATACCATCGGAGAATCAATCACCTTGCCTTTGACCCACTTGTAAAACTGTGAAGAAAATAAAGTCAAAATAGGTGAAATAAACACACGTGATTGTAATATTATTAGAATTTTTTTACCAACTGAAAGCCCTTCAGTGTACCGTATTGGTCTGCCCTCGTTTAAAAGTGGTACATTTATGTTTTGGGTGGTATTTTGTGCCAAGAATAGTATCACATCATTCGAGTATACCCCCCGTATTCGACGGTATCTGAAAGGGTTTCTCCCCCCCCGAAAATGCGCGCCCTACCCTATCTTTGCTTACTTGTATAATATTCACATGTTAAAATTATCATACATCTTAACCGCAGCCAACTACTTAAGGCTCCCATATGAAGCGCTCCAACTTTAGTCTAAAGACCCTTGTCTTCCAGTTCATATCTCCGGAAATTGAGACGATAGATCGATGCAGCAGGTGCCTCGCTGCAATTCTGTCATCAAATCCCCAAAACCAGAAATTTTTTCCTGCGGGCAGTGATCATTCAACTTGAACAATTTCCCCACGACCGGAACCATACGATACCAGCATGGCACAGGCACCGTATCAGTTACGAGAGCCCGATAAGACATTCATTCAGTAAGGTCGGATTACTTTGATATCTCCACCTCCAAGGACACTAATTCCCCAATTGACTTTGGTTTTGAACGAACTCCATACCCGAATAATGTACCGCACTTCACCAGTGCCGAATCTCCGAGAGAAAGAGGAGGCGAGACTTTTTCTCTTTTTTACTGAAAAAATGGCACTTGGAATGATACTATAATATAAGCTCATATAATGTGATACCTGACTGGCGCGGCGGGGAGGAATCGAGCATAAACTCCGTTCGAGACCAACAGTACTGGAACCAACTTTCTGTGTGCGCGCTGGTAGTACGGCATACCAGTATTGGAGTACCGGTATTCTCTCGACCCGGGAAAGTAAAATCGCGCGTTTCGGATATCGTCGCTACAGTACGAGTACAGTAAGGTTTTGCCCCCAAAAGCGGTGATCACCAAATTAATCCTAGGAAAAGCCCCCCGGATGCGTCATAGTATATCACTCGTAATCAATCGCCAGCACACTCTGTACGAGTACTTGTACCTTACAGTACTCGTAGCTTACCCCCGCAATGGGTAATATCTCATGGGAGCGCCCGCGGCACTCGAGAAGGAAATATCTGATGGGAAGCAAGGTGAGGTTAATATTCATGGCTGCCTTACAGAAACCCGGTTTTCTCTCCCTTGCTTCCCTTCGGCGTCATGAGATTCTTCAGGTGCAGTTCCATTCATTCCCGATACAGCAATCATCCCCCAACGTGCAAGGTATGATACCAGCGCCACAGCTTAGTAGTCTACGGTAGTGGTTTGGGGACGGGTTTCAGGGTTAGGGCAACGACAGTGTGACATTGAACAAAGGAAAAAAGCTCTTTGCATCTAAGGCTCTGTTTGGCGGGAACGGAACCGTTCAGGAACGGTCCGTTTCAAAATGGTTGCAACAGGTGAAATGGAGCACTTCTGTTTCGAAACGGTTTCTCTTACCTTCAATTGAGAATTTTTTTTAACCCCTGGCAACACTCTATAGGGCAGAGTAATTTTGAATACCATACCCTAATAAATCTGCTTTTTTCTTTTTCTTGTAAACTAATGAAATAAATTCTATATTATGTGCAAATCTCTCAGTCTCCTGTACAAAAAAAACTATCTTATCTTAACACTCGTGAAAACTTCTCCCTTCTCTAAAGAGGTTTCAACTTATTCACAGATACCAAGATGGACGAGCATTCTCCTCAATACCAGTGTGTTACCACTTTCACCATACTTATCATAATTGTTTACTAATTTAAAATAGTAGTTCACCTTTGAATACACAAACCTTGAGCGATAAGACTCAATCAATACAGTTAGACTCGGATACTACTGCAAGTCAAAATACTGCATGTATACTACCAAGTGGGCATCAACCTGAGTGTTCTAACCACTCCTGCGAGATTGAAGGTAAGTTAAATATCACTATAGTTACTATGATAAGTTCTAACATTTTTTTCAGAAAATTTATCCAAAATTCGTGTTCTAGACCCCTGTGAAGTACCTTCCTCCTTTACGGGAAGGAAGCAGAAAACCCGCAAGCCTCGCCGGTGTCCAGTTGAATGGTCTCCTGAAATGACATCTGTGTTATTGCGAGAACTAGTTCAAGCTCTTAGGACTGGAAAACGATCTGATAATGGGCTAAAGATGGAAGTTTGAGATGAGATTGCTGAGACAGTTCTTCTGATTGCTGGACCTGGGGCTCCTGTAACAGGTAAGTGATGTCAAGGCAAATTGGAGACCTTGAAGAAAAAATGGAAGATGTGGACCAGGTTGAAAGATTTGAGTAGTTTTGGGGTTGATCTTAAGACTGGTGCGGTTACTGTACCAGATGAAGTATGGGAGGAAGAAATAAAAAAACTGCCTGGAATACGAGAGTTTCGTGACAAACCACTTGCAAATGCAATTGAGTTGGCGGAAATCATGGAGGGAGTTCAAGCAACAGGTGGTCATGCAATCTATCCTGGCCATACAAAATTACAACAAATCACGATTCCTTCGCCCCTTAGGTCAGATCTAGCAACTCAGGCTGATCCAGAGCAGACCAGCCCAGATACAAGTCCTCATCAACATAAGCGGAGAAGGCTAGCACCACTGGGACATATTCGACAACCTCCAAGGAGTGTTTCTGAGCGGCTGATCACTGCTGTTGAAGGGATGGCCACTACACCAATTACTATTGCAGCATCCCAATCAGTTGTTCAGCAAGCTGTATCAAAGCTTCAACAAAAGTATAAAGGAAGACCAGGGTGGTCAACACAAGATATTGTTACTGGATATGAGCTTTTTGAGAACCCAGTTAAGGCAGAAGTGTTTTTAGCATTAGAGGAAGGTGAAGATCAGGAGCTTTGATTAAGAGGTCAAATAGTACGTTACAAGGCCTAGGAATTCTACAGCAGTTAGTCTACTGTGACTGGTTTTGGTATTGTACAAAATCAAGCCACATTTGTGTTGCACGTTTGTCTCGATCTTGTTTCATCTCTCCCATATCTTGTGCATCTCTAACATTTCCTTCATCCTCCTCCTCATAACTTGGATTTGATTCCTCAGAGTGATTGATATTTTCCAAGGATGAATCAGCATCCTGGTAAAATTGATCCTCCTCTCTATTTGCCCGGTGTCGAATAAAGTTATGTAATGCACAAACTACCAATATAAGTTGAGCTTGTGTGGTAAGGTCAAACTCTGGAGCTGTATTGAGAATTTGAAACCTCTTCCATAAAACTCCAAAGATACATTTAATAACATTTCGTAACTGAGCATGACGTAGGTTGAAAAGCTCTTCCTTAGTTCGTGGACGTAAATGAGCTTGTGCTTGCTCCCGCAGATAATATCGTACGGTACGGTATGGTATTAAAAACCCAGGACGAAGACCATATCCTGCATCTGCAAGATAAACTGTATTTTCATGTCTTGGAAATCCATGAATCACAGCATTTTCTAATACTCGAGCATCATTGGCTGAACCCTCCCAGCCAGAACATACATAGAAAAAGTACATATCCAAGGTGCATCCAGCAAGAACATTTTGCGAGAGGGTACCTTTCCGGTTACGATAGGGACCCTGCTGGTTTTGTGGGACATGGGCCAAAATGTGTGTCCCATCGATTGCTCCACGAACATCCTTAAAATTGGACATCTTTCCCCAATTTTTCCGTATTTTTGCAGGAATATTGTTTGGTGGAAGATGTACAAATGCTTCATACAGAGGCAGGAGAGCCTTTAGAACTTGATGAAAATAGCTGTAAAATAATTAGAATAATAAACATTTCATATATAAATATTATAGTGCAATTAATACTAACCGTGAAATTGTTTCTCCACTATGCTGAAAGTGTTCCTGAGCTTCCCTATTTGTAGCTCCATGTCCAATAATCCATAAAAACAATACAAGTTGTTCTTCCACAGCTACTTGACGTGTAGACACCAGTAATCCCCTCTCAATTACCCAGTCTCGAAGGTCTAACAATGTTGTAATTGGCATACGAATAACCTCTAGAGCACGACGAGGATGTGCTTGCAGGATTTCAGCAGTATAAATCATTCCAGTTCGAATAGATGTATGAACAGGTTCTTTAGAGAGGAATAGATGAGAATAGAGAGCAGAGGTAATTGCGATATGAATCCATCTTTGAATTATGGCTGTATGAATTGTGCTCATATTGGGGTGAGATGCCATCTTGGAGGTGTATGAGTTGTTTTCGGAGGTGCCAGTGGAAAATATGATGTATAGGGAATAATCTGGTTATTATTTTTAATTAAGATGTCTTTATACATTACAAATTTTTTTTAATACAAAACTAGCCTAAGTGGGGGACCAGCTACTGTTGCAAACCTGGTTGCCAAGATCCACTTTGGAACGGAACGGTTCTTGTTTTTCTACATTACCAAACACTGGATTTACTCCAACCGTTTTGAAACGGAAGGAAACGGTCGTTTGTATGGGGGAACGGACCAGTTCCGTTCCTGCCAAACAGAGCCTAAGTTAGTGTGATTTAATTCTATGGGGTGTCAACAGAGATGATTGACATGTCATTGTGCACTTTATAGTGATCCCCGGACAAGAATTGAACCCTGTCGGAGTAGGCAACTCAGGGTTAGGGGTTATTGTGACAAACCTGAAGGAGGAAACGCGACACCACGCGTACCCCACCAATCTCCTTGTGGAAGGATAATGCAACTGCACCTCTAATTTCTTAACTTCGAAGACTCCGCAATCTACACATGGAGCCCTCTACGCTCGATGTCACCCCGTCTTCTAACTCGGTTCCTGCTCCCTCCTCTTCTCGCAAGAGGAAGCGCGAGGTTGAGAAAGTAGTTCTTGGGGATTCTTTCGTTATAGGGGTGCGCACGTTCCCCTCTGCTGTTCCCCTTGGTGTTCTCTGAGCTCTGGCTGACCGTTCATCTCATAGCCATACTCTTCGTCTGTATTTGATTCCTCTCTGAAGCTCACTCCGGCCGTTGCTCTACCGCGCTCTTTTGTTCCATTGCAATGGCTTGCCGGAACTCCCTCGCGTCTTTTCTCCTTTACGAGTAATCTGCCGGTGCTAGGGGTTCCCGGGAATATACTGGTAGCTAAGGTTGACGGAGAGAGACAGTTGGCTGCCGTGGAGAAGGTTCAGGATGGAGTATACGCTATTTTTAAGCTGTCAACGCAACTGAAGATGAGGGATGTGAGGAAAACAGTGGCATTGGCTAGAAAGGCCCCACATGAGCCTCCGAACTTGGAGTTTGATGGGGTTGGGGGCGGGCGATTGGGTAGTGAATGGTGGTCTCACTTGAGGATTAGCGATTGTACGGTGAAAGACTTACTATCATCACCGGATCCTGTTGGCACTTTGACTATGGGTTCCCCTGACACCGAACCTCTTCGGGGTGATCAGGCAGCACTGTTGGTCTCCATTATCGTTTGCCCTGCATATTGAATGCTGATGAAAATTTTGTTTGGCAGACAAGCCCCAACTAGGGTGCCGGTTCCCCCCTCACCGGGTGTTGAAGCTTTAACGGAAGAGTCTGCGCCGCCGACGCTATCTGATATTCTTGAGAACACGAGGAAACAGTATTTCAAGACACTTTATATTGCTAAAGTAAGGAATCAATCTGGGCTTGGACTCTTCGTATATTGATTAACGATGTTTGGAAGACGTCACTTGCGTACTTTGCGAAATCAACTCTGTCTCGCGCTCGAGTTGCTATGCGTGCTGACGCTTCGGAACTTCCTGCGGGACCTGGTGGAGAATTGATCATTTTCTTACAGAGCATGCTTCTTCCTTTTGAGAAAATGGACATCAAGTTCCGCAGTATAATCCCCAAAATAGCTCTAGAAGAGAAGGTTCAGGAGAATGAAGTGCTACGTGCCGGCGAGGAAGAGTATGTGCAAGAGTGGAGAAGTGCCTCGTTTCAGGATAAATTGGTGCGGGCTAGTGACCAATGGTTGAAGCGGAGAGTCGAAGAGCTCAAAATTCGCGAGTATGCATACGCGCGTGTCCGATCATTATTTTTTGTCTGCTGACCTCGTCGTAGGACTGAGTTACAAATCATACTCTTGCTTGAGATAATGTCTTTACAGCGAGACCAAATTACACCAACGGATAAAGATGGAAGCAAAGAGAGGACATCTAAAAAAAAAAAAAAAATCTCGAAACGCAAGGGTAAAAATAAGACCAAGTCGGATGCACCTAATTATCCTCTACTGCTCGACTTACTGGTTGACCGCCTATGTATCTGGAGGTCGATTGGTTCGGTATCCGAGGGGCCCGAAGAAGAATCCGCGGAACAAAAGCTCGTTATGGATAAAGAACATGACCACCTTAGGCATTTTTGTGTCGAGGTTGTGCTTGCTTTGTATAGACACCATATATTCCGTAATGTGGATGACAAGCTAACGGTTGAAAGTTATGCCTCTAAACTCCCAGAAGAATGCAAATCAATCAACAAAAAATGCGGGGGTCGATCAGCCCCGTCAACTGCTCATAGCAATAAGGATTCGTCTAGCTCAAATAAGGATAAGCGAAAACTTGTGAAGAAAGCACCAGGCTTCACTCGCTCCATCACTGCTCCGGCTGCTACCAATGCTATCAGAGAGGCAAGTGTGGATACTTTGGCTGCGCTCGTCGCAGCTGATGCGGCATCTGTATCAAAAACCAACATGCGTGGAGGGACTTTGAATTCCAAGAGCTTTGTCAAAAGACAAGTACAGATAAGCTCGAAAGTGGTGCAAAAGAAGAAAGTGGATGAAGAATTAAAGGATGCAATCAATACCTTGAAAAAGCCGAACCGTATTGCAGTCGCAGCTGGTATTGTTGAGGATGCTAAAAAGCGGCTCACAACTGGCTCCACTAGAAGTATAACACCTTTGACCTTCAAAGATACTCCCTTCGCTAACTCTCCAAAAGGGCCGAGAAAAGTTCCCGGGAACCCATTGGCAAATATCCAAGTTATGGCAACCCCAAAGCGCAGAAGGACAACAAAACCTCAACCAAGCCTTCCGCCTCTACTTGAGGATGAGAGTGATGCCGCGCCACAGGATGGCTTACCCGAAGTCGCAAATCCAAAAACGCGATTTGAGGTTGCAAGTACGCCGGTCCGCCCCTTGCAAAAGCAGCGGATGATGGAAGAAGATGGTGTCCCATCTACTAGCCCCTTTGAGGTATCTGAAGAGAATGCACCAAGGCGTTCCTTGAACTTTGCCAAAAACATGTTCGTCACTCCTAAGAAGAAGCCAAGATCGGTGGGTACCGACCTTGGAACTGGTAATTCCATTGCGTTGGTTACGCCGAAAAACAACATCGGGCTTTCCCGCTCCCTTTCGTGCTCTGTATTGGGCTCTAAACCTGCACAGACTCCTGGATCCTCGCCAGATGGCGGTGTCAAATTGTTTGGCTCCATTGACGAAACCCCCGTTAGGCGAACTCTGCCGGTGGGTGCTTCTGGCGGAGATGAGGAAATCTCTATATATGATAGTTTGGGATGGAATGATGATTATGAACTGTGACGTATGATTTTGTCTATTGCATTCATAGATGGCAGGTTTAAATGCATTGTATGTGGAGTTTGCATGTTTTCTGTTTTTTCTTTTCTGTATGATGAGAAAGTCCACTATCACGTAATGCCAACATGTCTATCTGATGCCCTGGGGTCCGAAACTCAAATTTGCAAATACTCTTCTGGGTTTTTGTATTGGCGAAAGTGCGCGCGATTTGGGCAATCGGCTCCTCCACCATAACGATACACCCCCAAGAGCAAAGGCGTATGGGGCATTGGGACTTCTCTGGTATGATATGTAAATGCTAGGGAATATCGTAGGTCTAATGCACGTATATTAACATAGACGTATATCCTCAGCCAGTGATCATTCCCAATTCTCACTATGCCAGTTTTACTTCTTCTGCAGTAAACCTAAGCTCCTAATGTCCGCTTCTCCCTCTGGTTTCCGGGGATCGAAATTCGGATCCTGTTTGAGACGGCGGTTGTAGGCAGCCTTTATCGCTTGAGTTTTTCGAATCTATATCGAGGAGCCAGTCAGCCGCAACTCAATCTTTGTGCCGTGATTCCGGATTCAAATTTTCGCTTTTGGCCCACAAACCTCCTTCTTATGATGGAGACACTCGTAGTAATCATCCCTCTGCGGAACACACTTCCATTTCCCTTCATCGCTGGTCGCAGACCCAGTGTTCACCACATAGCAAGACAACAGGTCCTGCCAGAAAGGAAAGCACTTGAACATGATGTCAGCATGAGCTCCAAGACTGTACGGCATGGTGGGGGACAGACCCTACTGACACCTATACCGTAATCGAGAGCGGTAGTTAGCTTCTAATCGTGACAATGGGGGGTGGAACCTCGGATGATCCCTCTCGGCGCAAGTTTCAACGTACCACCGTCGAGACCGTATCCAGAAGCCATAGGGGAAATAGAATTTACTACGACGAAGGAGGTGACTCGTCAAAACTGGAGAAGGATGTTGTCTGGATGAATAGATCAATCGAGATGGAGATAGGGGAGGGGTGGGGCTGGCTTGACGCTCTAGCCGAGCTGAGCTTGGCGCTTCCTCCGGTCGTGGCGCCTTCGCCCAGCCTCCCTCTCTTGATTTTGATAAATTAACCAACCTCACCTTCCTTCCTTCCTTCCTTCCTTCCTTCCTCCCCACCACCACCACCACCACCACCACCACCACCACCACCACTATCACCACCACCTTTTCTCGTGCCCTGGACGAAATAGCCTTAAAACTACTGAGACGACCATGAGGCTTTTTACCATCCCTCTCGTGTCCCTGCTTGCAGCGTCCGCATCCGCGGGAAACCTGTTCCACCAGGTTGGTAAGAACTTGATGTCACCTACGAACGGGCTGGAACAGATTCCTGGAGAGAACCCTCTGAAATACTGCGATGGGGACCATTCCGATGATGTCCTTACCATCAAGAAGGTCGACTTGATCCCCAATCCGCCTATCCCGTACGTTATACCTCCCCCACTTCCCCTCTTGGGTTTTACCTGGTTATTGACAAACTCATCTAGTGGTGAATCACTTATTATCCGGGCTGTTGGCGTGCTCAAAGACGTAGTTACTGAGGGTGCCTATATCGATGTTAGTGTCAGATATGGCCTCATTACATTGATCAAGGAGAGACTGGATATCTGTGAACATGTCGATCAAGTCGACCTCGAATGCCCGATTGATCAAGGGAAACTAACACTAACGAAGGTGGTTGATATCCCCAAACAAATTCCTCCT